GTCGTAGAGTGATCTGGAAGAAGTGCATGTGTAGGGTGAAGATTTGAGTGTTGGGAGGTGGCTTAGTGTAGAAGGTCGTGGGGACGACCTCGTTTTAATCGACGATGAGTTGGGTGGGTGAGTAGGTTATAGTRAATTGCACCTGATGAATTTTGAAGAGAGCAGTGAAAATTATTTGCTAATGTTTTAATATGAGCTTTGATATCTTGACATACCTACTAAGATACACAATTTTTGATCAACGTTTTATTCTTAGTAACGTTTTGGACTGGATTTTCTTGTTAATAACAATACCTTTCTATTACAACAAGACACTGTGGGTACATTATCTTATAATAATTTATTTTTCAGGTACATAAATATTAATATTTAAAAATGAATGTAATAACAAGAGGTAGGCTTTATATTCTATTAAAATCCTTAAAATATGATGTTTTGTTCTCGTTTAAAATAGGTAATATATTTCCTTAATATTGTTTTAAAATATCAGATAAATGATATTTCTTGTCATTAAAAATTAAAATATTCTTTCAATACTTAAAAAAAAAAATATAATAATAAAATAAAATAAACGGCTGAATAGTTGTAATAACTAATTAAATAAGTAATTAGTAATAACTGATGTGGTATCGCCATGAATAACTGACAAGAAATGCCTGGTGATTAATTTTTATCATAAAAAAATAGAGCTCTATAATGCATAAAAAAAACAAGCATATCGAATATTGTATTTATCGATCAATATTAACGACTCACTAAGCAGATATTATAAAAATAAAATCTTCAAAAAGAACAATATTCCCCAAAATATATTCTCTAACGTGTAAGAATATTCTGGAACCTTTAAAATATGCTTTTTTAATCAAAATAAATTTGTTTCTATGAATTCTGTGTTTCATGAATCGTAATTATATCTTACTTCCATTTAACTGCATACACTAGAAACAAATACGTAATTTCATAAAAATCCGACCTTTTATAGTAATGACCTTTTTATAAAATATAAAAATTATAACTCTTAGTGAGAGAACACGTTGAATCTGCGTATCCTTTCTCAACACCTTGACATCGATACTATTTCCACTATGGCAGGGTGTCACGTAAAGATGCGCAGGACAACCGATTTTCCAAGGATCACCGAGTGTACTTTCACTGGATAGATTCGCAGTGTAATATAACATGAAATATTATTATACTTTATACTATTACTAGGTATAAGTGGTATAACTATAAAAAATAAATAAATAATAGGGCTATGTAGTTGCCAAAACGTGAAGTCCAATATTATACGTCTAATCGTACATCACGGTCGAAGATGTTTGTGAGTGTAAGTAACATATATGACAAGGTCAAAGATGAGGTTGAGATCACTGTGTATAGTRTAACCAATGAGTGCTAATGTTTGGTATCGTATGTTAGTGTGTGTAAACGTATCGTCTAATTGTTTATACTTRGGGAGTGATGGATTGAAACGCCTGAAGTGTACAGGTCCAAGATGGCTTGGTACTGTGCCAGATTCTAAAGATCTTAGAAATTAAAATACAAAGTATATCTAATTTGTTAGAGAAGTCCTGACGGAAAAAATACTACAACTTTTACAGTGCTACATTACCTCGAGTGTTATTAAGACGACAACTGCAGCAATATTATGAGTGACAACAGTAATCCTAATAATTGTAAGACAAAATTGTTTAAAATAAGTTTGACAGATTATAGTATAATTAATATAACAAATATGAAATAAACATAATTTATTTAAATGAACATTGGAATTATATTATGAAAAAAATAACAATGGCCTTTAGTATGTGTTAGATTCTTACGTTAGTTTTGAACGATATATTAATTTTCAATTGAGTAATGAGCATTTTTGAATTATAATATTTTACATACTTATCTATAACTTGCTAAATAATACAACTTAAGTGAAAATTTAACGTTTAAACAAATTATATTCTTCAAAGCTATACCAGTGGAAGGGTTTAGCATTTAAGGTTTAGAACCCTCTCCCGAAACGTTGTCTTAAAATCTAATTAAATAGATTTAAATACCTATTACATAGAAAACTTGTACATCGTACAATTCAATCTTCACAATTACTTAACGCCATGATTGAAAGCGAGTTTGATATAAGCTTAAGCGAAGCTTGTGATTTATTTTCTCTGACTTTGCCCGTTTGCAAAGTTTTACAAAAATTAAATTGCAATCTTTAGGAAACATGTGAACATATTGAAAAAATATTTAAAATTTTAATGAAAAAGCAAGAAAACGCAAATGAATCGTTTTCAATTTTATTTAATTAATCAAAAAATATGTTGAAATCCGATAATATTGTTAATAATTAAATAGCTATGCCAATAATTAAGTCACACCAAACAAAGCACATCAAAATTAAAACCAACGATCCTATTATTAAATTTATATACCTTTATCAGACGACTTTTTACAACAACTAATTGGATGATTTTATAACAAGCCTATAAAAAGTTATCCTAAATTTTGTGACAATAAGGAATATGAATATATTAAACCTTATGTTGATTTTTATATTTATAATTCAAACTCATTAGCTATTGAAGCAGAATTCTTTTTATGGCAGACAATATAGACCAAGATTTTGGAAAAATATAGGCCATCAAATGTTTTTGAAGAGTTTTCTCAGCGCTTGTCAATTTTTTACCGACGATTCCTTACTTATTAAATATTTCATGAATTTTTCTATCAACAACATCAACACCTGAATGGCCACCAACAGAACCGAGCAAGGAAAGTTAGTAGGACTAGCCCTTATGAGTGTGGCAATAAGTAATTGAAATTGACACTGAAGAAGTTATCAAAAGATTTTAAAATACTTCTAACTCAATAATAGCGGATTTTAACTCACTTAGATTGCCAGTGATTGATGATGCATTGCGGAGGAAAAATACCACCAAATACCTCGTAGAGATGATGAGATCGTGGCTTACGGACAGGGAACTTCTTACCGAGGAGCAGATGGTGCCAAGACGGGTCACGTGTGGCATTCCACAGGGATCGGTTCTGGGTCTGGCCTTATGGAATGTCGCATATGATTTACTCTTAGAGATGGAAGTCCCAAATTGAGTGCACCTCATCGGGTTCGCTGATGATCTGGCGGTGGCCGGACGGCGGCCTCATTTGCTAGGGTGATGCCAAATGTGAGAGGCGCGTCCCAATGGAAGAGGAGACTACTAACGTCGGTTGCTGTACGCAGCTCCCGTATGGGGAAAACTGTTTCTGAGTCGGCCAGGACTAGAGCTAAACTCATTCGGCCGCAGAGAGCCGTTACCATTAGGGCGTACAGAACTGTGCTTGACGAGGCTGCGCTATTGCTGGCATTCAATCCCCCAGTCGACCTAGTCGGGATCGAGAGACTAAGAATTTGAAAACGATTGGACGCTTCGGCCACCCCTGGAGAGGCCTTACTATCGAAAGCGGCCATTAAAGGGGATGAAATGCTGACCACCATTGACCAGTGGCAAACGAGATAGGCTTCAACCACTAAAGCGTTATAGAAAAGGTCGTTAATCCCGGACGTCAGAAGGTGGTTGGGAAGAACTGTGACCAAGGCACCTATGACATACCACATGATGCAGGGCACTGGCGGGCCATGGTTGCTTTCAGAAATACCTCAACCGTTTCGGAAGGGCAGAGAGCGTGTGGTGCCTATACTGCGACTGTCTCTCCGACAACGCGGGGCACACCCTGTTCGTGTGTCCGCGYTGGAGCACTCACAGGCAAGAGTTCTCTGAGCGACTTGGCCACAGCCCGAGCCCTGAGGACATGCCCAGCATTATGTGTGTTCTGGAATCCGAGAGTCTCCCCATCGACCCCGCTGAGAAGTGTGAGGCGCTATGTCAGACAGAGGAGTCATTCTGGCTCTTTTATCGTATATGGTCGAGACCATCATGTCACTAAAGGAAAAAGAGGAGAGAGTTAGACAGGCCCGGGGAGGAAGACGGAAGAGAGAGTTAGACAGGCCCAGGAAGGAAGACGGAAGAGATGATGACGAGACACACGAGACCAGAACTGCCCGACCCGAGGCTGGACCGTAAAGATGGTGCACGAGTTCTCTAGGCCGACGGGCCGCAGCACCGAGCCTTGAAGCAAAGCGGCTATGGATGGGCCTCGAGACCGGCTGGCGAAAAGCCAGGTCGAGATAACTGGTTAGACACAACCTAGAGGATTGCAGGCTTGAATGCAATTATTGTACTTACAACTGAATAATTGTTATTTTTCTATTTKTTTGTTATACAATAAACGATAGGAGCCAGGGGGAAAGCAATGCTAACAGAAGTCCCCTTCCTGGTTCTCAATAACACGAAAAAAAAAATGTAATAAAGATAGCTTTAGAATAAGCTATTTAAATTATAACTAAATTATAAATTGGTATATAAAAAAAAATAAACTATAAAATATAATTTTATAACTATTATTTATAACTTGTTATTACAGGAAAGTATAGATAAAAAAATCCTAACGAATTTTATAAGTTCCAACAAGTGTATTTAGCTACTTTAATAAAATTAATAGATTTTGTTTTATATTAAAATATTAAAATTAAATGTATATAAACATGTTAATACGTATAAACATAACTTTAATTAATKAAATCAGAGTTAATTATTATCTTATTGCTTTTAGTACATATGTAACACTAAACTAATTTTATAATTAACTTATTATACTTAAATGTATAACTAGGTAAAGTCATCAGTGTGTCAAAATTCAACTATCACCATGAAACTACCAGTATTTTATGAATTTAAAATTCCTAACATTAATAGTAAATCTAAAGAAGATAATAATACGAAAAAAAATTATTCGTAAAAAAAATTACCTATAGTAAAGTTTTGCTATTCAAAAACTTTGATTTGGCGTAATTCACTTGTCCGTGTCAAGAGAATTCRTCAAAATCCTTTTAAAATTACGACAATGAAAAAAAAAAAAATAATTATAAGACTATATACTTGCCCCAATAATGCTGATTACCTATATTCTATTTTTTAATAAAGAGGATATAAATCATGAAAACCATTTAATTTTTTTAGTTAGCCTTTTAATAGAGGTATTAATATACTCGTATATAATATAATAATATTTTATAATATTTGTCTAGTCATCACAAATATGTATTAGTTTATTTGCGAAACTCGAGAAATTAAATTAACGAAACGTGCTTAAAATTCGAATATCGTAACATTTATTCGTTATAATAGTATAGTTTAAATTCAAAAATGATTGAATTAACATAATATCTTTGGATATATATATAAAAATATGTTTTATTACAGTTATACAAATATAATATCATTATTTTCACTATATTAATAAGTAATAAGTCTGGTAAAAATTTTAAAAATATATGTTATTTAAATGCTTTGATTAAAATAGTCATCACAATTTTTAATATAATATAAATTAAACAATAAAAGCGTTTTATTATGTACCTGTCTAATAGTTCATTGTCACTTCTAAAAATGTAACCTTTTGTTTATATTTTGGGYTGTTATTATATTATATACAACATTACTTACAGATATACATATGAGTAAAGTACCTATTTTAAATTCTTTTCGTGYATTTTTATGTATCATTTGTTTATGCGAATTATATAGAAATATGACATAAATAAATTATAATAAACTACTCAACGTTAATAAAAATATTATTATAATAATCTACACAATATTTTGTACACACTATTATAATAGTGGTGTGACATTACAACTTTTCACTGTTTGAAGATATATTTACAACATTTACAATGATAAAACCTGACCGAGTTCGTACACTTTAAATCTATATAATACGGTAGTTATTTTTATACCAATCTTTGTTTTCATTATTATTTTTCTGAAATCTTCCAAAAATATCGACACTCACTCGTTTTAAGAAAACATCAGGCTGCTGAGAATAACCTTCAAACCTCTGTTTTATTATATTCATCATTTATTATTATTAGCTTTCAAGTATCGGTACTTTATCCTTATATATAGGTAAGTCTCTCATACTTTATAGATGTTTAATGGTTATTGGTTACCATACTCATTTGATTTTGTAGACCATTATTATTACTAATATTATCTTATTTGTAAAAATAGGTTCCCATAATTTTTTAAACATAAATTTATTACATATTCAAATTGTTCAAAACCTTAATTAAACACATCGAAGATATTAAATGAATACGAATTCCGACTTTTTTATTATTATTTTTATTATTGAACTTAGCTTTGAAAGGAATGGTTTTCCTTTAATTTTGACTAAAAAAAAAGGTGAAAGATAAATAAAAATCGTATATTTTAATATGTTATTAATTTTAGATTAGTGTGATAACAGTTAATAAATTGTTAAATACACAAAAACTCTACAATTAGCTTAAATAAAGTTATTCTAGAGCCAGTAATTAGTTGGATCCATTGAAYCAAATTGAGATGTGAAAGAAATAATTGAGTTATTAACAATTTTACTGTTCAAACCTTTGTAACAAGTTCGGAGAACTTATATCTGGGATGCCAGCCATAACTTTTTCCATCTGAATCGGATACATCATCCAATATTCCAGAATCTAGACGTTTTTCTCCATCTCCCAAAACTAACATGTATCGAACACGACATTGATGGTCAAATCCTGTACATCGGTTCAAATATACTGACATACGACCTTCAACCGAAGTACCTAAAGTACAAATATTAAATCAATTAAATGTTAATAATAAATCATAATATTAATAATCCTATAATTATGCATATATGTATCAATGTTTGTATGTAATTTGTATGACGTAATAAGTTAATAAGTTCAAATTAGAAGATTCTAAATTATTTGGTGTGAAAAATTTAAAAGTGGCATCGAACAATCAAATTTATTACAATATAATATTATGATATTATTTTATACATAACTTTACAATAAAAAAAGAAAATCAATAGTGTGTGAACACCATCTAAGTATAAGGCACTTATATAAATAACATACTATATATACATTTTTTCTTAAATTAACATTAGACATCTCTGAAATTTCAACCAAGGCACTAATTTTAGATTGGTAGATGACTAAAATCTAACTGGTAGGTATACAAATTATAAGTGTATCATACTCAAATGAAAAATACTGATACCGTGTACAATGTACATAATCGCAGTTCGCACCAAATTGTGTTAATTTTTAATTTTCAACTGAATAAGAGTTATGAATAAAAATTTTATTACAAAGACAACCTACTCTAATCATCATATATTTTAATACCTCACGCCTATGTGTACTATGTACTATGCAGTGATGTGAAGTGCCCAATTCATCGTAGTATAGTCAGTGTCTGTAAGATTCTGTGTTTAAAAAATCCATAGTAATAATATTACAAAATGTATAAACCTTAAAAAGTTAAAAATCTTCCCTGGTGAAGCGCTCCCTAAAAATKATATATGAATCATGATATAATTTTTTGGTTTAACAATTAGTTTCAAAATTATTAGTTTAAATTCAAAAGTTTAGGTTTCTTCAAAATTGATCCGTTTATAACTTTACAATATTTCTGTTAATTTCAAAAATAATTTTCTATCTATAAACATGTTTGAGTAATTTATTATAACTATAATAGTGATATGATTATATTTAATTAATCTTGGATAGTCTTACAAAGAAACTTTGCTACTACGCATTCATTATAAATTGTAAATGAAAATCTAAAGTCGTTAATAATTCAATACCTTAATAGGGTCATCAATGTTTATTTCAGGTACATTAAATATTTTGAACTCTTTATAATCTCTCACGAAATTCTTCAACTAAATCGAATTAATATTTAATATATTAACTTACCGATGATATAGTACCAATAGCATTAAAGCTTTGTTACTCAATAGCTAGCCTGAGTTTGAATTTTAAAATGTACCTACAATGTTAATTTAATTTTTTAAATAAATAATATAAAATAACATGATAATAATTTTAATGTATTTATAAATTTTTACAATATCAATACAATTGATATCATTAGCTTCAGTATAATTTTAAAGCTTTTAATTTTGAAAAGTAATGGTTTTGTACATGTTTTATTATATCTGTCGAAAAAAATCCTCATAATATTACGTACATATTATATCACATCCATAACAAACAGAATATAAAATTATAAATAATTCGGCAGCCGTTATCTAAAAAAAAAAATATGAGATGTTTCATTATATTGTGCAAATATTTTATATATTTACTTAAAAAATTAGGTTTAGAAGACGTTTGATCAGAATCTACAATAAAATAAAAATAAAAATAGCCAAAATGTTGTATATAACACACAAAAATATTATGAAATATTTTATATTTTATATTATTTAAAAAAAAATCATTGTATGAATAAGTTTTTTTTTCATTAAGCTGAGCTTTGGAAAAAAATGAATATTATATTTTATTATTAGGTACCTACAATCAAATTAGTAGTAGACGTTGCTTATTATATAACTGCATAATGATAGTGAATATAAATAAATATACAAAACCTGATTTGAATTTTAGATTTTAAGATAAGTCAAAAACTTATTGGTCTTCTTATAATACTATTTATTTATTTTTTGTTTGTTTGTGACGATTATTAAGAATACAAAGCGTACTTAAAAACTTCAACCAGTCCTATTTATCGATTGAAAGTTACATTTATTTAATGCTTTAAAGAAATCGGGTTTTTGATACTATCAGTAGATTATTTGACGCATTAAATAAAGTTCAGAAACCGTGGTTTTAATCGAGATCCAAGCACAGCCGTTGTTGTAATACGATAATTTATGATTGTTTTCATATTATTGTTACAATAATAAAATACTGATAGGCACATTGAATAACGAATTGATACGATAGTGCGATACAAATTGACCTGAAATTACAGCATCTAGTTATTTTTTTATGTGCCGATTTCATTATTGTATTTTTCATTAAGATCAAACAGACACTTATCATATATTATATAATTTAGCAGCATCACAAATAGTAATTTCATATTAAAATACTCTCATATGATTATATGAAATCTTTCACCATTTTTCAATCTGAATTTCTGATAAGACCATATTGATATTATATTTGCTACGTGTTTGCCTTACCATACAACTCAACAGAGCATTTATGTATTTATAGATCTTTATGCATTTATAAATACATTTTAATGCGTGAATCAAAATTGTTTAACAGGAAATTGTTATCTATTGCATAATTTCGAGTAATTAATAACATTCAAATGTTAAATAATAATATAAGCGTTTTAACTAAATATACACAATATAAACCTTAACTGTACAATGTTATAGTATATTATTGTGTAATGTTATTGTTGTTACGAAGGGATTGTATAATTATACATGCGTGCTATGTTCATAAACACTATATTAATACAAGAGATAGTACCTACATAATTATTATTGTATTGCAGTTCGTACCTATATAGTTTAAGTTCAATCAGGTACTAATTGCYATTTGCTTCTAACATATTACAATAATTATTGTACTGAATAAAACGTAAATGAGTATTGATCACAATTAAATAGGAAATGTAAACTTTTTTTTAAAAACTATTCACCATTGTGTTGATACTATCATATCCGTAATTATGTTTGAACTTTATAGAGCAATAGAGCTTATGGCCAATATTTTCGAGCTACACAGAGGGTGATGACTGCAATATTTTCAGAATTATGCGTTATATTTTTTTTCGGTTAACGAAATCAAAAAGAAAAACAGTACACTGCAAGTAATATACGTTAGAGAGTATAGTAAATACTATGCATTTAATAACTATTCGCTATTCGTAGCGACTATTAATAGATAAATATGATGTAAATAATTGAACGATAGGCAAACTATTTATAATTTAGTATCGCCAATCGTTAACGAACACTTACACGATGCGTCTTTGACACCGTGCGGGTACAGTGCTAGGTTCCAATCAAATCCGCCGAACGTGAAGTACGACGTCTCCAGCTTGCACTTGGTCCCCCTAGGCGACGCTGTGCCGTACTGGTGCTGGAGTGCATTTCCGGCCGCCGGGTTGTGGTGGTTTTGGATCTGGTGATGGTGGTGCAACAGCCTGGAAGTGAGCGACGTGGGCACGCCAAACTCCGTGTCGTACACCGTGCGCACGTGACCAATGGACAGTTCCAGCTGGAACTCGCCGTTTGCATCCGTGAAGTTTCGGCCGTACAGGTCGCTGACCGGAATGTAGTTTCGGTTACCCTGGGCTGGGCAGTCCGTTGTAAACTTTACCTGTAACAAGACGTGCACAACGTGGTTACCTACATAGTATAATGGCAAGTGGAAATATTTATGGAACACTTTGGAAACGTCGTATCCAAAGTGATTATGTTAAAGTTTAGTTTAAGTTGGTTAAAACTGTCTAAACGTTCTCCTAAGAGCTGCACTGTATGATTTTCAATAACAATTAATTTAAATATTTCTATAATCTCCGGTATAACTTACTATATGCCTACGAATCACCGCACAAATAAATAACCGAAAAAACCGTTAAAATGTATTTATTTATACTTTGATATGTTCATCACTCTATCACGAATTTCAAATTTAACCATTTCTCGCAATAATTCAATATCATCGTATAATGTAATATTGCAATCATCAATCATGTTTTACAATATCAACTCACGGAATTTGTATTTTGTCGAATACATTCACTCTCAGAGATTCATTACACCAAGTAGGTGTTCCTCATGCTGCGGTTGATGTCGATTTTGTTATTCATTCCGCACAGTTTCAGTTACTGTCTACACCTAAATAACTACAAGTAAAATTGGTGGTAATTACATAATAATAGAATTTTCAAAAAAAATAGTACCTTAATACATATCCGTATACCATAATATTATTTTAATGATAGCGTTGAGTTTTTTAAAATATGTTTATGCCTTTATGGTAATACGATATATGTAGGAATTTGTCGAAACCAATATTATTAAAGCATAAATAAAGTTAGTGTTTTGAAAATGGTTTAAAAATTAAAATTAAATAAAAAAAAGTAAAATCTACATATCCTCGTATAAAAATAAAATGATATAATATGGAAAAACAAATTATGATTATAAACACTATAAATAAGTTAAATAATTCATTAAAGAATAGTAAGTCGATAAAATATTCAAAGTTTACTATATTCCTACGTTTGTAACTTGTAATTAGTTTAAATTTAAAGTGATTGTAATCTAAGTGAGTAGGTTCAATRTGTTAACATAAAGTTAAAAAAAATTGCATTATTAAGTATGTTTATATTCTCAATACATTAACATAACTGACAAATAAATATATTTATTGAAGTAATAATGTTTATCATATATCTATACATTATGAATATTATTTTATTTTATAAACTGACATAGTTGAAAAATTTTAAAAGTAGAAAACATATTTAGTATAGTAAATCTAATTAAAAGCTTTTCACTTTTTCAACTAACTCAAATTCATACTCATCGTTCTGTGGGCCACTGAAACATTTTACTTACTAAATTATTGTAATTTAATCAAAAAGTTCATTATTATTAAACATTTATTTAATATAAGTTGATACTAGTTTTAAGTTAAATAGAATAAAAACAATAAATGTATTTTTCAACAATTGTATTATAAAAATATTAAGTTTCTCCGTTTTTATATTTTTGATAAAAATGCACGTAAAAATCATTGAATTAATTAAAAATACTATGGATATCACTCACAGTAAAAGAAAATCAATTTTATAATTAATATTTACGAGCATTTTTCTTTTCTTGTACTATTTAGGATTACTTTTGTCCCTAACGGCCTAACTTATAGCCATATATTATGCCTCCGTTTAAAAATGTAGTTTGTAGGGTCGTATACGGGTATACCTTTAGCTTACTGATTTAGCTAATAGTGAGAACTAATGGATGAAAAAAAGCACATAATATATACTTCTGTATGTACATTTAAAACATTAAAAAAAAAAAAACCATTTCATAGCCAAAAATATTTTTTCATAGAAATTAGCCATTTGTACTGTCTCAGAAATGAATAACAACAATTGAAATACAAATATTTAAGAAATTGTATGAATGGCAATACACAATTTTACCATTGCACATTACGTTATTAATTATTACTAATTTATAATATTTTTAAACAGTTTTTTAAAAAAATTGAACAAACAATAAATTAGGGATGGTAATGACTTTGATTAAGAAACTAATATAAAATAACTTTTCAGCTTGAAGAATAATTATGAAACAATTAATTTAAGATCTCTGTTTATAAATAAAGATGTTTAAGGTTAAAATAATTAAAAATATATATATACTTTTAATCAACATTATTCAACACAACAGTAATTATTAAAATATTGTTCATACAAAATATAATGATTAATACAAATAATGATTTAATAGATAAATAAATAAATAGGTGATGTACATACTCATTTTTCCTTATAATAGTTAAATATTTCACATTCTGGATTTTAGAATTAATAAGTATAGGTACCAAAGATTAAAAACTATGTTTTCTAATTATTCTTGCATGTGTATGACAGTTAGATTTTATATGTTAAATTTCTATATCCTATCGTGTACGAACTTATTTTGTTAAATCAGAACTACATTTTTTCGTAAAATGATAAGCAGATTATTTGATCTATTAAATGTTGATAATATATTTACATAGAAATTTAAACAAAATAGTTTCTGAACTATGAAACTGAATGTATGAATGAAAATAGC